CCAACTTCTGTAAGTTCCAGGAATAACTGATGTCATATTTGTTGCCTTATTTATATAGTCTGGCTGAAACTTCCAACTGACTTGTTAGTGGGTGAGAGAGAGGGAGAACCCAAGACGGTTCCCTCCCTCCTGTCTCTGCTGACTGATATCAGAACCACAGAAAATGGAAGGGAATTATATGTTTTTAACCCCCTTTTGGCTTTTTCAAGTTGTTTGTCCTTATTTACATAAAGAAGGGGAAAAAAGCTATGAGTTTCCATTGCTCTCTGGAAAGGAAATAGCTCCATAATGTATAATATTATGGTTTTTATATTCTGACGTGCCCTGGGATCCTGAATTTGGCAAAAATCTTACATTTTTGAAATGTCAGTAATAAATTAGCACATCCATGCTTATAATAATTGTTACTATTAGAACAGGGGGTGTGGCCCATGTGCAGTGCAGGCACAGAAGCCTCTGGCTGTGCAACTGCCAGAAGAGGTTGTGAGGCAATGCAGACTGTCTCATTCAGGTCAATCATATCATCACGAAGTGCATCATTATGTCGTAAAACGCTTCATTGAGACAAACGAAAGGCATTCGCGTAGACCAACCGGCTGAAATGCTGAGCGCTGTCCATGGTACTGATTGTTGTATTTCTCTCTGAGACTCCTCACCTATACAGTACGCTCATGATCGCTGTCCACAAGATATTCCCTGACCCTGCCTGTTGCTGAATGTTAAAGCAGTCCTTTGAAGCTTGGGCAGGAGTTCAGAATTTAGTGGCAAGATTGAAAGCTCAATTGTGATGTTTTTGGAAAAAGGCAGATTAGGCAGAAAAATCCTGGAGTTTAATTTGGAGCATTCGACTCAAAATATTTCCTCACAGTGTTCCTTCCCACATCCCCAGTGCCCTGCATTAAAAAGAGAGCTGCCAGGGTTTGCTTATATGTCTTTGCATACAATTACAGCCATCTGTGCCTCATGAGCAATGAGGACAGAGCAATTGTGTGGATGGAATTAGGTCCTGCCTACAAACAATTTTCCCAGTGACACAAACCTTCCTACTTAGCAAGTATTAATGCAGTGGCAACAGTCTGGCTCCCCCCAAAGCCATGTTTAAAACAGCCCTGAAAACTTGGCTCTTCCCCAGGAATGAGTGGTGGTTCCTGTGTGTTTTATTGTTTTTGAATAGTTCTTCTTCTGGACCTTTGGGTTTTTAATTGTGTTTTAGGATTGCTTTTACTGTATGCCACCTAGAGTCATTATAGAGTGGGGCAGATTTATACATGTAATAAAATAAAAAATCAAACACATTCTATGGGTGAAAGGAACTTCACACTTACAATTAATCAACTTAATCAATACATAGTTCTATCTGCATAAATCTTATGATGACAATCTTTGACATTGTATGATGCAGGTTTTTCTATAGCAGTGATTTATAACAAGTAAAATCCAATTTAGCCAAAATATAAATAGAATACTTTTTTAAAAGTCTTCTCGCTCTTTTGTTTAATTATGACATTCCAGGAACCAATGACTTAGAACTGCATGTGTGCATGGGCATATTTTCTTCCATATATGTCTATGTGCACAAAGGGCATATTGAATAAAGGGAGTCTGAAGCAATTTTTGTATTTCTTGACCTAATACCATCTTACATAATTGCCACTGTGCATACAATTCAATCATAGGTAAAACTAAATTTACAAACGGATGGTAAGAACAGGGAAGCAGCATAAATCTTGGGGTGCAGATGTGGATTTTATGTTCAGATCGCTACCATTTAAAGTTTCAAGTTCCATCAGAATTTGTACAAACAATGGCTTTTTGTGTGAGACCCAAATACCATGAATGGATCTTTGTAGAGCATCCAACCATCCTTAGCTATAATACATGTTGTATAGTTTTCACAAGAAATGAAGGCTCACATAATAAGGGAACTTTAAGGCACAATATTTCATATACTCAACCACACACATTCATCAGCCACAAAAATACAAAAAGAAAAGTGCAGAATACATGTATTCTAGGAGCAATATCTCATCCATAGTTTCCACTGAATGAAGTGGGGTTGTATTTCTAAGTGTTGTTACACAGTTTATGCAGTCTTTCAACCTGAAAATGAGGCATAAAAAATTCATCTCACTACTTCAGAATTAATACAAACTAAGGCTGAAATGTTGATACAATTCACATTTCCAAATGGGCAAAAAATTGACATTAGCTTGAATACTCCAAATTTAACCTACCCTGCTTCTATAGCTATGGTGGTGAAGGCTTTGACTTGATTAAAAAAAAAAAAAGAACTTTTGGGAAATCAGTAGTTTTCACACAAACTAAGGTCAGCCATAGTAACTTGCACCCTGCTAACCTGACAAATATCTGGTCACTGAACATAATATTTGTTATTTAATATATTCCTTACCAGGGAGCTGCATTCTTCTTTATACCAGTAAAATCCTTGCAAATTGAATTCAAGTAACAAAACTAAAAAGAATTGTGGAAAGGTAACTTGGGAAAAAACTAAGCAGTACTGTTCCGAGATATGCCACTGATCTCACTAAATAGCTATAGCTGTTTCTCTATGGATTACTTCAAAGATCCCTCCCATCTCTGTATGAAATACTTCAAAATTTCTCAAAAGGTTTCCTCTGAGAAATGCCAAGTTTAGTATAAGTTTCATTGGAAAAAAACGCATTAAATATCACCTGAAATTCCACAGACATTCTGCTTGAGGAAGAACCGTCACATTTACTTCAGATTTTACTGATTGCAATTTTTAGAGCAGATCTATTAATACAACAATCAAGGGCAAGTAACAGTCGTACAAGGCTAAAAGTGGAAAAAGTGGAAAAAACAGTGCCTCTGCAGATGTTGTTGGAACTCCAACTATCGCCAAACTTACCAACTATTGCTCAGCAGGAATAATGAGAATTATATAGTCCAATATTGGGAAAGACATAACTTTCAAGATACCTGGTTTATGGCCCAATGGGAGATAGGAAAGAGCTATATCAGGCAGCAGTCTGGGGCACTTGAACAGAAGGTGCTATAATTTCATTTTTCTTGGACAGTTTAAAGTGCTAATGGATACATTCAGTGATTAAAAATAAAAGCACTGAGGTTGACTTGATTGAAGCCAAGGTGAGGTTGACTGCTGACTCTGAGTAAGCTAAGTCCTTACAACATCCCAGGCTCCAAAGTTTGACAGGCAAAAGGTTGATGTCTGTAGTTGATTTATTTATATATTTCTTTTTTTTAAAAAGGTGCTAACCAATGCATGCAATCATTCTATTGGATATTAAATATCTGAACCCACTTTTTCTTTAAGAAGATTTCAGTCTCTGATCTCACCAGCTGAGATGGACTACTGAAATGTAATTCTAACTGTATCCAGTTGTATGAACTCAGACCCGTGCGCAAAGCTCATCATGCAAAGCACGAGGAATCTAAAGCTTATTAATGCTAATCAAGCAAAAAGGAGCCAATATTTAGGCTTCAAAGGAATTCACACATTTAGGCTTCAAATAAATTAAAATAGATTGAAGGAGGGGGGCATATCACTGGAGTAGGGGATGTGTTTGGCATGCAAGAAGCTCCCAGCTTCCACTGATGGGATCTCCAGTTCAAAGAGTCAGAGGGCAATGCTGGGAGATGGTGTACTAGAATGCTACTACTAGTTAGAGCAGACAGTACTTAATAAAAAATGCCACTTATAAGTTCAATATAAAGCAGTAGTGATAGATGGCCCTGTTCATTATAATGGTAAGATCTGCCAGTTTCCCTAAACTAAAAGTACCTCTCAAGTGATGATCATACCTAGTTTAAAACGCTTACCATGGCACCAGTTAAAGAGGACTTTGGGGGGAAAGCCAGAGCTTGGTTCAGAAGAATTAGCTCTCAACTGAGAAGGGCTATTTTTAACACATTTGGAAGTAAGTGACAGAATACATATTGCCATCTAAAGGAGAACTATTCAACCCTTTAGTTGGTCAGGGGCTGCACTTAACAGCTTTGGAAAAGGCAAGGGCTATGACAGATGGGATTATGATGCAAAGGAACGGAGCTATGTGACCCCCATATGCAGGGACAGGATTTTTTTGTCTTTTTCTCTCTTTTCTTTTTAAGTGGGGCATTTAAAATACTATGCTAGATAGGGGGCATCATTTAACTAAAGATACTTAAGGACTTCTATGATTTTATAACAGCTTTAACAGATCACATTCTTTGGATTTTCAATTATGGCCAAATACTTTAATTCTGCTGTTTCTCCTTTGCTTAGAGCATAAGGTTTAGCATAAATAAATAATAATTAATACTGTTTCTTTTACAAATCAACACCTGGTCAACCAAAACAAAATAAAACAAAACACTACCCAAGCTACATTTGGGGAAACCTGGAATGTAACATTGCAAATTTTGCCAGATTTGTGCAAAAAGATTTAAGCGAAATGCCACAACAGTTCCCAGCAATTCACATGCATTAACCTTCTCAGCAACAGTAGCACTAGAGTAACTTTGCAAATGTTTATGTGGAAGTAAACCCCTTGGCTTCAAGAGCTTATTCTCAGGGAAGTGGCTATCGGGGATGCAGCCACAAGAAATGCCACCTATGACCTTCCACGTGTCCACCTTAACTAAGGATGCAACAAGGTTATGTGAACGAATTAGAAGTTCCTACCATAAAAGAAGAGGAATGCTGTTTGTTAACAAGGACTACTGACAAAAAGCTAAGATGAAAAGGACTACCAAGTGATAGTAAGGCGATTGGAAGCTGTTATCTAGAATGGTTTCCCATCTAACTATTAGTTTCCTTTTTTTAGGATCTGGTAGGTAAAGATCTCCCATTTTTACATGGTATTTTAAAGGACCAGGCAAATACATGAAGAAAAGCGTGACAAATCCTGCCTTTTCTCCTTGTGTAGCAAAAATAACTTTAGGCCAGTCACTCTCTCTCACCCCAACTCACCTCACAGGGTTGTTGTTGTGGGGAAAATAGGAGGAGGAAGGGTAAGGGTTAGGGTTAGGTATTAGATGTGTTTGCTGCCTTGAGTTATTTATCGAACACACACCATCCATATATGAGACAAGGAGTACATTTTACTTGGGAATGTCCAAAAATTTGCCAAAGCCATCCCCATCTCCCCTAATGAAGTGAATAGTAGTGTGAGAAGTAGAGGGCTGGTATATTCAAGGCCAGAAAATGCTGAGTATCAGAGGAGGGCCAAATAGTAACCTAGGGAGAAAGGCATGGTAGGTTGCAACCCACCCTGCCACCGACCATGTGGACTGAGACGGAGAGGATATCCAGTCCAGGAACAACTGGATGGTTACAGATCTAGGTGCATAGGCATCTTCGGCCAACAGTGATGAAAAAAATGACAAATGTTGTGTTTTGATGTCTCAGTGTACACTTGCCCATGCACATTTGCATCCTGACACTGGATGTAAGTACTTAAGTCACAGGGTTTGTGTTATGACATGTGCAGTACAACCTGGATTCCATTCTTATAGAGCCACTTCTGATACAGGCCACTGGCTGAGACTCAGGAGAATTGAAACCCAGCACATCTGGAGGCCACCAAGGTGGAACAGGCCGCTGTGGAGGGGGGAGGAGATTCCCCAAATAAGCCCACATGAAACAAAAACAGGATCTTCAGTACTGCTCAGTACTTCTCTCATCTAGGCTGTGTTTCTGCATAAGAATATTCATCTATTAGTTATGTCACAGGCCTATAATGCACAACTCAACACCTAAGAGCAAAACCCCCTCAGGTTGTAACAGGCTTCACAGTTATGCACTCTTCACAGGGAACTCTAAAATTGTGGTTTGACCATGAAATGGGACCCATTAGAAAAATGTCACACTGATTGTGGTTCCTAAAAATTCTTGGGGGGGGGGGGGGATTACCATTAAATTGGAATAAAACAGCTATCAGGGTTTCCTTTCCACAACACACAGCATCTTAGCTTTGGAAGCAGGTTCTCTTTTACAAACACCTGCCTAGTATTTCTCTTTGGCATTTTTTTGAAGAGAACTTTGGCACCTGCAACTTTTCTGGTGATCTTCACCAAGCCATCACTTATCTTCCTTGTAGGCTACCTTCAAAACTAATTAAAGACATTTCACAGGCTCCCATGGGATTCCTATGTCAATTGTGAACTTTGGGACAACATGAACAGATTTGTCTCTTACAGCAATATGATACAATTCAACATGTGATCTCCCCAAATCACACAAACACCCCATACACACATAACAATAGGCAAAAAATATTAATACTGATTGTATTAGGCCAGGGGCCAGCAGACATTAGATGAAGATCTTTCAATAGATCTGCTAGTGGTTTGCAAAAGTTTCTGAACAACCAATGGTTTAACCAAAGCACCAGCAGAATATTTTCTACCAATGAAATTAGACTGCTGAAATGAAGAAAGGGTAGGAAGAGGGACCATGTGTGAATATTCATCTCCAAAGGATTGTAATCCAAAGGATTGCAATCTCTGTTCTGATACAAAAAAACACGTCTCAGCTGAGCATATACTTAGAAACACTTATTTAAAAAAAATTCTGTATATTTGGTCCCACTTGTTCTATTAGTATTTTGCTCCTGGGTGTGGGTGCTGGATCAGAAATCTTCTTCACAATTACACTGGGGTTCTAGTTTTTTTGTTTTTTGTTTTTTTTTAAAAAAAAGGTGCTGTTCCCACCCTTATGATAGGCATCCTGCAATCCTAGAGCCAAATCGGTATAACAGCAATTCCGAGAGAGGATTCTGGTCAAATTTAAGAAGCAAATGAATGTAGTTCCCCGCTCACCCCCAATTATCCATTTTCAGATTTCAATATTATTGAATTTTAATAAAATCAGTACTGACTGAAACAGAAACCAAGCATGCTAGCAAATAAATGATTAAGCATAGATGATTAATGCTGTTGAATATTTCAAAAAGAGGGGTGATGTAAATGAACCAATATTTTTAATGATTATGAGTCTTTTTAGACCTTTCTGAGAAGTAGCTATCCACCCCCTTTAACTCTCACTTCAGCCCAGCCAGCATATTACTCTCTTATTGTCAGTCTACATTTCTAAGGAAGGGTGGCATAACTTAGCAGTTAAAGTTAGTCTGAATATATACATATAGAAAACTGAACAGCCAATAAGCACTTCACATCAGGGCTCATGGCTTATTAGAAATCCCAGATTGCACGGTTTTCACACGCACCATCACTGTGCAACCAAGCAGCCTCAAGTCCTAAATGCTACCACTGGCGCATTCTGCAATATAGCTGAAGGTGACTTGCACCTTTGATCTCTCCCATGTTTGCACATTAATGCATCACTTTAGCATGGTAATAAGCCATCCAAGGATCCAGAAAAAAAATCATCCACATGTCTTTTTAAAACAAAAACAAAAACAAAAAACCCTCATTTCATTTTATAAATAAGCAATTGAGAATTTTGCTCCAAGTGGCCACTTGAATAGCCCACTCCATAAATGGCATTCTCCGGAGAATAAGGCACAATATGATATGAATGCAGTTCTTTGTAATAAAGGGACTGAGAACGGCATTCTTGTACCATAAACTTCAGCCGTTTTCTTGTATCCGAATAGGCAGTCCGACAGCATGGGCTTTCCTTAAGGTACTCATAGCGTTCCCGCTCAGTTTCCAGGTGAATCTTCCGCAACAAGTTGTTAATCAGCACTGAGCGACGGAGATAGAGCTCAGGGTCTTCGAGGAACTGGAGCTTCTGCAGAGAAAGTTTCAAAATGCAAGTCCGATCTTCAGGTAATATCAGGTGCTAAGCAAAAAGGAAAAGTGGGAATTGTCAAGGATAGCAGAAAATACATTTATAGGCCTACGAGAGCTAAGCTGCAAAAATATGACTGACCACTAGATGACACCAAAGACATACAAAAATGCTTAGTGTTTTCTGCCATCTAATATAGGGAGTCCTCACTTAACAACTGTCCATTTAACAATCGTTCAAGGTTACAAAGGCCTTGGAAAAAGTGATTTACAACCTGTAGTTGCACTTACGACCATCGCAAACTGTTGTACCATCCCCCGCGGTCACATGATTGCAATTTGCAAGTTTTACGATGGTCGTTAAGCAAATTCCAGCAAAAAATGTCCATTGGAGAAGCTGGATTTGCTTAAGATCCATGCGATTTGCTTAACAACTATAGTGATTCGCTTAATGACCATCATAAAATGGTCATAAAATTGGGTCCGGTCATGTGACTCACTTAATGACCACCCTGCTTAACAGCTAATTTTCCGGTCCCTATTGTGGTTGTTAAGCGAGGACTACCCGTAATTCAAATTTTTGCAGTCCACACTTCTAACCCAGGCACAGAACCAGTTTGGAAGCTTAGTTCATGTTGAAGTACACCAAGGTAACCATACAGAAAAGTGTGTCATCTGAATTTACCATTATCCATTGTAGAAGAGGACAATGCTTCTCCCCTCCTTTGTTGCCCCAGTAGGGCCCCAGGAACTGTTCTGCACTTTACTGCTGAAATTCAGTACTGCAATGTGCTGCTGGAATTTAGTGGCACAGTTTGGCACCTATTTTTAACTCTTTAAAAAGGTTATTTTTCAGAAAATATTTTATAGAGGTTGAAAATATTTTATAGAGCTTGTGTGAAAAATGGCAGGGAGGATTGTAATTCCTTTCTTATATTTCCTATCCTGCTTGCCTGTCCTGTCCTGTCCAGTCCCATTGCTTTGAATGCAGTCTCTGCCAAGCTATTTGAGGACAAGTGTAGTCCTCAGTCCAGCAAAAGATGCCCATTCCTGAGCTATTACATGATGGCAGACATGAACTCATCCATAAATGGGGAAAGCAGTTTCTGAACAAATGAATAATTGAAGTAATGGATCACACTAGATTCAATTTCCATTTACTGAAAATGAACACCAAGTAGCCAAGGAGTATAAATCAAATTCTTTTTTTCATTATTTCACCCTTCAGTCATTTGTCTCTATGGAGGGGTTACATCTTTCAGTTGTAGTAGAAGCTTCTTTTAATAAATGCATACTGGCAACTGTAACTTTATTTCCATCGAATCCTCCAAAAGGGTTCTTCAAATAGAAACAGAGAGAGAGAGAGGAAAAAAAGAAAAAGAAAAAATGGAAGCACCAATGGTAGTTGCCATATTTTATGGTGCCTGCCATAAAACAGTGACCATACTTCATCAGTAATTCATCAGTGTTTTCCATCAACAATGGAGTGACCATAGTTCAGTGGGAGAGTCCAGCTTTGTCTTAGGGCTGATTTTCCATAATGTGGGAAAGTTGGAAGATGCTGTCCCTACTTACTTAGCCACTACCACCAGTAGGCCTGGCACCACATTTTCAGGTTTACAACTTCGGACAACCAAGAATACAAGTCTTTTCCCATGAATTGGGCCAACAGCCTCATCCCAAGGGAAAAAAATTGCATAGCTGGGAGAGGAGGCTCTGAAGAGAGAAGTCCTGAGAGCTAGACACTGTGCCCTAGGAGGCCTTACAGACCTCTTTCCACAGGAGATCTCCATGGCCTCTTTTTCCTCCTTATTATTGATCAAGATGGTTTTATCTCATCAGCCATTAGTTCTTCAAATGTAAATCCACTACAATTGGCATGCATAAATGTAATTTATGTGCAATGCAATTTAGATCAAATTCATGTTAAAAATGTTGCTTTTAACAACTATCCACACACTGCAAGTTAGGAAATTCATCTATATTAATTTCAGTTTTGTTATATTATCAAGAACATACTCACTTTTGGAAAATACCCTGGGTAATCTTGATGTAAATCTTCTTCTTCTGCATATTTCCTCTTAAAATAGGCTACTTTCGACGTTGTTAAGGTATTTGTCAATACTTGGCTTAGACAGGCAAACAAGAAGGATTCATTGTTATTTTAGCAGCATGACAACTCCAAGATCTTGTAGCATTTTAGAAGGGCTTCCTTCAAATCACAAAGCATATTTTGCATTGATCTGATAATAATGTAATTAATAAAGTAATAAGTGATTGCTTTTATGATGATGACTGGGATCTTTAAAACCCATACATGTATACACATAACAATAAAGTATTCAATAAAAAGGAAAACACAACGTGGTGCTCAACTTTACATGTGGCCCCTAAGCAATAATATGTATTTTTTTCACAAAACAGGGAGGCCTAAGGCCCTCATAGGATTTGCAAGGCAGTTAAAGACAGCCTATAATAATGGGCACATGTACAACCACAGATACTCAAGCAATCCAGCAGTTGATGTCTAAGAGGGTAGGTCTTTCCCTTGTTCTTTATGAAGGCAGGGAGGACAGTTTTCCAACTGATTGTTGGTTCTTCAGACAATCGCAGGGCAACAGGGGCTATAATGTACATGCTCTTCATTGCCCTAAATTATTTATGAGCACTGCGCCAAAAGTACAGCGAACCACCCACATACATCTGTGTCTCCTAATGCACTGAGGAAATTCTAACAGACTCCTGCTTTTCGTGGTGCAAATTTTCTTGCTGAATCAGGGTGATGGGTTCATGAGCCGTTTGGCCTTAATACTTATGTTCTACTTTCAGCAAAGCCTAGTGGTGCATAATCAAATTGACTTCCTTGTTGTTTATAGCTTTCTATACTTCTGTTTTAAGGAAGAGCCAGTTGTACGGTACAATATGATCTTGGACAGAGGGTATCAATCATAAGTAGAACCACAGTGACATCATGCACATCATTATGTTGGCCTGCAAATGAGGCAATTTATAGTCATTTGTACAATGACTTCATAAGGTGCATGTTGTCAAATCCACCACCTCCCCTGCTTCCCCCTGTGACTGCCCATTCTTGTTTTGTTTCTGCATGTGAAATACAACTTCTGTATAATTCAAAAGTTTGCTTTCAGCATTCTAAGCATTTGCAGCACAGCTGTTACAGCTTCACTTGCAACACTCGTTCCCCCCCCACCCCCGAACAGCTTATATTTTTTTGGAGTACTTTATACACTCATCACAAGATGGCAGTGGTACCACGCTGAAAATCCGAGCAGTCCTCATGCAAGTTCAGCCCAAACTGATCAACTAATAAAAATTGTGTAGTCTGCTCATTCTGTTTTTCCTCTTTCTTCTACTTTTTCCCCAATTTCAGCATACTTTCCTTTGCCTTCCTTAAAGCCCTGAAGCTTGCCAGAAAGCTCTGCAATCCTTTGGTCAACCTGGATATTTGTTTAGTTGACATATTTAATTTTCACAACATGAATATGACTCTTAAAAAATGACAGCTTATTTTAAAATAGGTGCAAGTCTTCTGGGCCAAAAATGATTTCCCTTTATTATACTATTCAGTGTCACTATCAGCTGCATTAGAAGGAAGCCTAGTGTTAGCCTACAAAAAGAAGTTAGTGTTTGGTTCTTCTGAAATTATTGTAGCACTGGATATTGCAAGCTTCACTGTTTAGAGGGTGTTATAAAGAGGTGATTTAAAGTGATTGGAAAAATAGCTACCTTATCTATTAGTCTTTTAAGGCACTCACTATATTACAGTCATGACTGATTGAGGATTGCTGTTGTTGGTTTCCTGGACCATTTAATAACAATAAATGTTGAAACCAGGAGACACTGGGGCATCATCTCCACTGTACTCAAGCAGGTCTTATTTGTGATTTTTCTTTGAATGTCTACATAGAAACATGAAGCCTAAATCAAAGTTTCTGGGCAGAAAATTTGAGCCAGCTGGAAAGTGTTCCAATTGCTTTCCACAATCAGTTTCCAACTGCTAAGTTCCTTTACATGACAACCAACCTAAAACTTTGCCCTTGGTTATCTGACAAGAAAGACATTATAAAAGAAGTTATGAACCAGAAGCAATAGACAATTCCAAGTATTTCTCGCAAATGGAAAGGGAGGGTTTGGAGCCAAAACTGAAACTGATTTCCAAGACGCAGCCATGTTGATATCATGGAATATATGACTATATTCTTGGCAGTATGGATTCTTTACTTCATAACCCTGGTAAAGGGTAAATTTCATGGATGTCCTTGCTATCTAATTTGTTGGCAATGGTTGATCCCTATTACACTTTGCATTTGCAGTGTTCCACTGGGAAAAAGCAAGGATGAAACTTCCTATCCTATTTCAAAAGCCTGGGCTGTCAGATTAATAAATTATCAAGACAAAGCCACTGTTTCCCAGGTAGGGAAAATGGGTTGATTGCTTCTATATACGTGAAACTGAGCATTCACTTGTTCATGTGTATATATACCCACACATATATACATACACACACACATGGACATAAACGTAATTGTTTTAATTTCTTAGATTGCACCTCACTGGATGTCACATGCAGGGATTCCTCATGGTCCAGAAGAACATGACACTTATCAATGTTGACTCCGTAGATTGAAGATGGTGTGTACATCAAACCTACTCACTATTAATAGATGCATGAGGCATCGCCTGCATTCTCAGGGCCATCATAGGACTTATAAGATCCTACCTTATTTTGATTGCAGACCAGAGAACTCAGTGTCAAGACTATGAACCCTGTCATTTATGTAATCACAGCACCACAGCAAGTGATGAGTGTTACAGTTCAGAAGCTGTTCTTTGTTAAAGTGGAAGAAGAAAGTTCAGAGAACATGGATAGGCCACATGGCCACATACACCTTCTTTGCCACCTCAACACTCCCTGTCCCACCTGACTATTCTTTTTTTCATTAAGTATTTGTCAGCTGCAAAATGCTAGCATCATCTTTATTTCCAAGAATGCCTCTGAGTCTGAAAAAAACACTTGAAATAGGAAGCTCCTATTTACAGCTTCCTTTCTAGCCAGAGCATTGGTCTCTCTATGCTAGCACTTCCTGCTTTAATTAACAGTAACTTTAACCTGGTGTGAAACTGAAGGAAGTGAAGGAAAATTCAATCCTGGTCACTGCTGGAGAGGCTGTGGCAGGAAAACAGCCTCACGGCCTAGAGAAGGGAAATAATTGGGCTTTCTAATGAGGTTGCTCTCACTGTGAAAATGGCACTTGGAGACAGGAGGGGCTGTTTCTGGTTCACAACAGCTTCACAACTATTCAGTGATAAACATGATTAAATCAATCATGTTTCTGGCAAATATTAATTTAAAACCTGCATGAAAGTGTACTTAAACAGTATGAGAAGTTTCCTAAATGATATACTTTTATAGGTATTTCCCTTACACAAAAAATCCACATTTTTGAACACAGTTTCCCCAAACATACATTATCTGTTACAGTAAACATTTTGTGCACATTTTAGATCCAAGAATTACACTGTAAAATCTGAAGGATAATTGCATTCTGAGCTGCATATTAGCCCAGAATGTTTGAATCAGGTCAGTTCGCTTAAAAATAAGGACCAAAGGCCACAATTCTTCATGCACTTACCTGGGATTAAAGCTCAGTGCCAAGGTGAAGATATGGACGGATGTAAAACATATGGATAAGCATCCCCCGAAAAAGTTTTAGTGACATGTGCCTAATACTTTTAACCTTCTCATTCAAAAGGCAAGTTTAAATGCTCCTGTAAATTTAATTAAAGGGATATTAAATTAAAAGGCCAGATTGTGTAGTAGTTCTGGCAATGAACTAGAGATCTGGGTTCAAGTCCATCCTCAACCGTGGAAAGAGTCAGTCACTTTCTTTCAGCATAATCTTCTCATTAGGCTTATATGGAAATATGAAATATGTGAGGTGACATCTGCTCCTTAAACCAGTGTCTGTTGGTGAAGTTGGGAAGTATTTTTGCTACTCAGCAGGCAGAATAAATATATAGGGCATCTTCCAATCGCTTAAAATGGTGTGTATCATTCCAGCTGCCCAATCTGCAAAATGACTGCCAATCCATTCTAGATTAACATTATTCATACAGGCTAGCAAAAGCTTTCCAGGATTATAGACAGGGATAGAGCTGTCAAGAATTGGGCCTGAGATCTCCCATCAATGAGCTGCAATGTCTGTCTATAAGTCCCATTATAATTGTTATTATAAAACTTTATATCATGTCAGATTTACTCATCTGTAGACTTGCCCACTTTGTCTATTTTAATCCAGTTTCCCAGAAGAATTACTTCACTTACTAGTTTTTTAAAAATTCACTGCCACTAAAAATGTAGATGTTGGTTTGTAAAGGACTACATATCTTTTTAGTGAGGAAACCTATATGTAGCTGTTGAACCATGAGAACTATAGCATTGTGACTACTGTATGGTGGGTAGATAAGGATATGTTGTGGATGATGAGACCATCAAAGTGTAGAAGATTGCTATAGGAAATAGATGGCTATCTTGGTGTCATGTCCATCTGGAGACTTTCCAGAGAAGATGAATGTTAGTCTGTTCTATCTAGTAATATACAAATCATTATTTTTTAAAATCCATTTCATTTTCATTTCAGTTTGGCAGCTTTCAGCAAAGATTTTTATGGATTAAAAAAATCAATTGAAAATGCCATTTTCCCTTATATTCACATTTCTTAACATACAGAGCCTCATATATCTATATAAGAATCAGTATGGCGTAGTGGTTAATGTGCTGGACTAGAAATGGGGAGACTCAGGTGTTAGTCCTCCCTTGGACACAGAAGCCAAGTGGGTGACTTTGGGCCAGTCACTCTCTCTCAGTCCTCATCTGGGAAGTTGAAAAATATCTATCTACCAACCAGGACTGGACCAGCATGATAGATGTATGTGATTCATTTAAAATTACACATTTCCTTGTCTTCCGTCTTTGGTTTATAAAGTTCCTTGTCTCTATACATTTAATATACTTTTAAAACAAGATCTATATCTACCACAAATGTATCCAACTTTCAGTAATGTAACTTTTTTGTGTAGCTTCCTGTTGGTTTTAAACAAGCAAGGAAAACCACTGGCCAGATTTCATATGATGTTGATGTCTGTGCTACTGTACAGTCCAACAGGATTGAAATGTCAAATTTTACTCCCAGAAAAAAAAAATTGGTATCACTCCTTCCAGAATAACAAAGCTTATGTAATTATGAAGAATGCTTTGACCTAATTCTTAGATGACACATAATATTTTGGGAATGTGAGTTGCACTGATTGGTTCCAAGCCACAGTGATACATACTGTTACAGTCAAGAGTTTACTCAAAATCATGAAGGATAATTTAGAGTATTATTGTCACATTGAAGTTCTGGGGTGTGATGAAGCCACTGGAGTAGCTTATATGAAACTGTCTAACCTTCTCAACCATGTGCTTAAATATTAATTTTGCAATGTGTTGTGGCCCTAAAGCTAAGCAGCAAAAGAAGGCTAGTTTAGTGGTGTTGAGGTAGACAGGAGGTCAGTTAAGTAAAGTTATGGGCTGGATATTTTCAAAATAGATAGCAAAATGGATAGACATTTGCAGGGGATGCTTTAATTTGGATCCTTGAACTGAGTAGAAAGTTACACCTGATGATGTAACTGGCCTCTTCTATTCTATGATTCTACAAGAATCTAGCAGGAAGCCAAGGAAATAGAGAAGTTATCTAGCTGTCTCTGAGCTACAAATTCCTTAGAATTCAGCCCAGAATCAGTTGATTTAAAGAAGCATGTAAGACCGTCCTAGTTTTTCTAGAACACATACAACTAAGCTAGGATCTCCTTTGGGTATCCACAGTGGCACCACAGCACAATGAAGACTAACCATAAGACAGGTTGCCATGAGAGACAATATAGAATCATCTTCCCCCACCTGGTACTCTGCAATATTTTTAACCACAATTCCCATCTTCTCTAGCTGGAAAGGTCAGTAATCAGGGATGATAGAAATTGCAATACAACACATCTGGAGAGAATCTGGTTGGAGAAGGCTGGCATAAGGAGTAAAACATCTGATTGCTGATGCCAGTATCTTGAGATTGAAGTTCCAGACTCCTACAGAGACTTACAATGCCAGCGCTTTGTTGTTTCTCACTTTAATTAAACCCGAGCAATATGTTGTACCTTGTCTTGCCAAATCAATCCACAAAGTGACTTCTTGCTGTGCTTTCACTGGTTCTAATGAGTTTCTGTCTTTGCACAGGCTTAGTTAGCATCGCTTCCCACACAGTTCTGCTGAACAAACACCTGTTAAAATGAATCAAGGGAGGAGGAAGAGAGGAAAGAGAGAAAGGAAAGTGTGAGAGAGAGGTGTACAAGCACCCCAAAGCTAACATTTTGGGGGGAAATAATCAGCAATATCCTGAAAACATCTGCTATCCTAAGCCTTGCTTATTGGATCCCTGGGAAATGGAAAAAGGTCATATCCATGTTTTTGAAGATACTTCCAAGAGAAAAAGAAAATCATATTGATCAGTGACAGATCAGTAAGTATAAGCAAGGGAAAACTATAAGGTATCCTTGACTGTAAATAGCAATTACTTTTTTAGTTTGCTAGGCCACTGACTACCAAAGACTCTATTTTAAAAAAGAAATTACTGAATTGCAAGCTAAACCTTGTGGTTTATTTTTGTGTCAGTTCTGTTGATATATTTAAGATATATTTGACCATTACAAGATAAATGATTCAGACACCCTCCAAAGTATATCATGAGAAGCATGTTTCTGATCCCTCTAGCTATAAGAGGGAAGGCTATAACTTGGTGCCTTTGCTTTGTGGGCAAGAGATCAGTGTTGTATGCATTCAATCATCAGTCTACTTTCTTTAATTTCTGTAATCAAACAAATGACATGAACGTTCACAGCTATGTGTATCCTCAAGAATGAAGAGGCCAGATAAGTTGCTAAACTAGAGCTACAACTTTATTAACCTATACAGGACTTTTGTCACAGAAATACTGTAGTTCTCTTCGTAAGCTTCATGCAGCCCTTTATTCAAGGACATCACCAAGACCAGTCCTTTATTTGGGCTATATCTTCATGTACCAAGATAGGCCTTTCTGAGCTGGAGCACCTTAAAATTCAAGGACCATCCATTCAGGGCACCCAAAACTCTTTTTTCTTCCCCCTTCTTGAGAAGCATGTCACTTCAAGGCTTACTTATTTATTTTATTTCTCCAATTTGTACACCATCCATTTCAAAATGGCTCTTGGCAGTTGACAGTTGAAAAACACTGATAAAGCAGCTATGTAAAGCTCCTAAAAACTGTAAAAAGCCTGGGTAAAAAATGGCAAATGGTAATAAGGAGGAAGCTAGTTTCAATGATAATGCAAGTATCTTCCAAAAAGAACACAATATTGACTGTTGATATAAACAAATCCCATGCTTAAGACCAAGGACACGTGCTTATGCTTCTTATTCCACTGTACTGCCCATTTTCTAACCAACCTCTTATTTAACCATTCATTGCTCATCAAATGACCAATTAGCCTTTCCTCCAAAGAAATTCAATACACAGGATGGATGGATGGATGGATGGATGGCACCTCTAGCCAATCTTGGTGTTTATGGCACCAAAGATTGCAATCAACAATGCCCAATGATTTTTTCCTGGGCAGGAGAGTCAGTACAGATTAGGGAAGAGGGAAAAATTTGATTAGTTTGCTTTTGAATATGAAGCTAATTTCACATTTTCCGACTGATACAGAGATGGAAAATTCATTATTCAAAACTGGTTCTTTGGGGAAATTTTTCAAAGCAATTTGCAATTTAAAAAATAAAGCATTGGACAAAACTGCATATTTAGGGAAATATGTACCCTAATGCAGACAAAGTAGTGTGAAATTTCAACAAAAATGCTCAATTTTTACAATCCAAACGATAAATTATGCAAAGACAAGAAACCAGGAAATATGGTGTCGATGCAGGCTTCTAGAAGTTCTACTGCCCCATCCAACTGCACCAACATCATAACCAAACATATGTCGAGTTTGGGGCACAAACATGCTCACTTCCTTTTGAGAACGGCCAGACTGGAATTGTTTCCTAAGCAGTTTTTCCTCACATACACATCTCTGTATGTATATTTTCTACTAATTGCATTTTTCAGTGCAGTTCTTGATCCAAGAACTATATTACAAAATTTAGAGAGGTACACAGTTAGAAGGATGTGCACATGAGGTTGTTCACTTAAAAATGCAGGCTAAACTTAATTTTCAGGCAGCATGTGATAGCAACCCACCCCCACCCCCACCCCCACCACAGGCACATCACTCTGAGCAGGGACATTCATGGGGTGAGGAAGAGGAGATGGTGTGCAAAAATAAAAATGGCAGCTGCAACCATACAATTGAGGCCATTATGTTGACTTTTTTAATATCCCACTACCACAGCAGATGGCCTAGCCTTGGAGACTCTTGAAAGCAGTGCTGGTCAGCAAATAATGCCTGTCTAGGTAGACAAGCATCTCACCAGGCATAAGAGAGATACATAGATTTCTAACATTTTTGACAACACAGGTACATTTTTGTGCATCTGAGTGCTCAGTTAAGCTTCCAAGATCAAAGGTTCTTCCCTGCCTGTTCTATGATCTTGTATTTATTTTGCAATAGACTGCTATGCACGTCTATTTCTGGCATGTTTTAAAACCATTCCTTTCTCTATCTCTGTCACCATGGCTTTTGTATTTATTTTATAACAGAGTTGGAAATGAAACCCTAGAGAGCAAAATCTATTCTGCTATCAGATTAAGCAAAAGGATTTTGGAGTGGAAGCGAAGGAGAGGGTTTTCAATCCAGAGTTCCTGATTCCAAGCTGGCAAACAGCCTCAGCCACTGTGGAGCAGCTGCAGCTTCTCCCCCCATTGCCTTCCTGTTCATAGCATCCACGCTATTTACAATGCCGCACATCTGATCAATGGCAGCTGGTGGGAAGAGTGGATTATAAATCTAGGCAGAGAATGGTCAGGAAGAGAAATCACTGACATCACATTCTGTGCTAGAGGACCTTAAAAGATAGGAGTACAGCCCAACTCTGAAGCCAGTAAGCTGAGCTCAAGGAGATCACGAAGTTTCCTAAGGCTTGACCAGGGAAGACCGAGAAATATGCCATTTCCTCCGGTAGTGAAAATTTCAGCCATGTGGCTGAAGTTTGATGGCATACTTCTCATACTTCTCTTTAGAAATCCAACTTTTGCTGAGTAGCTTTGGCACTGCTCTGACTGAGACCTTGGAAGTCAATGCAAGGCATAGATTGGATTTTTATGCAAGAAGAGGCCTCCTGACTTGAGACATGCAAAATCATAAACTTATAAAAAATGTAGCTTGCTCAGAAAACCCTAAGAAACCAGAAATCACGGATTTAGGTATTGAACTTTTAAAAGGTATTTCTAAACCTCTCCACAAAAGGCAATATGGAGTGAACACCAAGAAGATCAGGAATAGCACAAAGAGGAGAGGGAATTAAATCCGTGTGATGAATGGGATGTTTTATGAAATGGCTACAGCCAAGCAGGTGCTTCAAACATCTGAAGAGCCAAAAAGATAGAATAGAGGGTGGGGGAGTGTTGATAAACCTCACTTGTGATCAGTGGGTTTCACTGGGTACAAGCTACAAGTTGTGCAGAGGGCTTCAGAAGTGATTTCTCCTCCTCTTTGTTCTAGCTATCCTTTACCAAGGGTAGTAATTTTGGCTTGGGTTGGGGTTCAGTTCCTTGGCTTCAGCTACAAAATTACAAAGGGCAGTTCATCCTCTTAAGGAACTTTGCAGGGCAACAAAGCCATGGCTGTGCTGTAGTCCTGAAGAGGGCAGCTCTGAGAATGAATGAGGAAAGATTTGCCAAATCAATAGGCATGTGAACTCTTCAACCTGAAACTTATTGATTGAGAAGTAACTCCCATTGATTTTAATAGCACCACTTAAATGAGGTTAGGAGATCAGTAAGCAGGAAAGTGTTCCCTATACATAATTAATATAAATTGCAAAGAGCTTTGGATGTGACATCACAGTCTATCATCTGGAGGAGGTTTGGAAAAGTCTATGAAACCCTTCCAAAGTGATTAACACATACACTTGATACAGTGAAGCCCCTTATATTTTTAGAAGGCATGTTGGTCTCTTCATTAATTCTCCAAGATATGGTATGGTCCAAAGGCACTTTGCCAGATGCATTAGACCAAAGTTTCTTCTAATCCACCACACACACACACACAAACACACACATTCACACTTGCAATAATGGTCTGCCACTTTTCTAAAACAAATCATGTTGTTATTGGCCCCTGCATCTGATACTGGGAGGGGTCTAAAGGAACTCATTGTATTACCCCATCCTAGAGTTGTTGATGGAGCCCCTTGAATAGCTTTTTGCATCCATACTGATGCTATGCTAAAAAAAATCCCCAAACCCATAATGTATTTACTCTCAACATGGGTTTTCCTCCCAGCACAGTTTGAATGTATTAAGTAAACAATCATGATACACAGCAAAGTTGCTTGTCCTCTGTGGTTTGTAGCCAAAATGAATTCCCTTTCAAAACGATTCCCAAGAAGGTTCTTCAGTAAACATTGATAGGGCATGCTGGATAGTCTCCTACTATTTCCGAATGTGCTGACTATTCATAGGAAACTTAATTATTCCAGCCAGAACATGGGTGAAAGGAGTGTGTACGCAGCACATTTTCACATCCTAAATTCTGCTATCAGCTACTTCTTGGAAGGGAGAGGGTTGAATCCAGGTGTCATTTCCCCATCCCCAAACAACTTGCTGTCGGAATATTAGATACCAGCTTTAAAGAAAGGCACTGAGCTGGCAAATCAGCTTAGAGAAAAACCATTCAGCGCCTAGTTTTGTATGCGGCTGGTCATTCATGCAGCTGTGTTCCTAGCTGGATCAGACCAATATCTTCATTTTGGATATTTTTAATTCAGTGTTTGAAATTGGATAGTGGGGCTTTGTTCATATTACAGTCTTCTAGATTAGACTTCTTTCCTATCTTCTGTTCAATGTTCTGTTGCATTTGGTGGAATATGATGGTTGGTTTGCAGTAGGATTTAGACTTTGATACTATCTGACACAAGACATGGAATGCTTCTGTTTCTGACAGTGAGTGAAAGTTCACATTTGATCCCTGCCAAAATTAAAAGAGTGAAGCGCTCTCAGTTGGAATTTCAAATAAACATTTAATGGAATGCTAGCATTCAGGATTTTGCAGGAATATTGCTACCTGCTATATTTTGCAGGCTCGGGTATGGGTTCTTTATTTTTTATTCCACCCTTATTAAAGCTTTAAACTGAATGCTTATATATAATAAGATGTGAAATGTTTATGCGTGTGTTTGTATGTATGGCTAATTAAATCATGTATAATAAGTAGCATTTACATAAGAATAGTTTATTGTTATGCCATTATGAGCTTGGAATTCTCGGACTTGGAACCCCAGCACATCTGCAGGGCATCAGGTTGGTTAAGGACATCATGATCATTAAAACTACCCTTTGAAGCAGGTCAGGATTATTGCCCGTTGCAGTAGATACTATGGAGTGATGGTTTGCATACTAAGTTCAATGCCAAGAAAGCCTCCTAGTTCAGATTTCCACAATGCACTCCCCAGAAGTGTTGGAACTGCAACATCCAAAATCCCCAACCAGCCCACCATGTCAGCTCAGAATTCTGAGGATGCTAGTTGGCAAAGATTCCCTTAATTCAAAAGTAAAAGGCACTAAACCATGAATAGTTATTTTGTGGACCCAGGGTGCCAGGCGACCCCTTTGCTAATCTTTAGGGCCCTTCTGTCCCTACCCCCTGAAAATCTGTGGTATAATTTCCTTCCATTTTGAGTGGAAAGCAGTTGAAAAGTGTAGTGTAAGCCCTAGGTATATCACAGTTCAAAAAAAGAGATTCCCAAACAGAGCCAAATCCCACCCCTATATGTAATGCAGGTTCCCCTACACTGTGGCTCTCAACCTCTCCCCAAATGACAGATATGGACTTCAGTCACAAAAAGATCTCCCAGAAATATCTCCCACAAAAAGCCATGCAAATTATTTATCTTGTCCAGGTAGACAGATAGAAGATAGAATTGTCTAGATACAGAGTGTGTGATTTGAGTATACATCCATGGAAGAAGCATAGCTGTCAGGATGAAACTTATAAAGGGACAATGCATTTTAAAAATATTCTAATAACATGCCTCCTGAGAGCTAAATTAAAACATTATATCACTGTAATTAATTTTATTGGCATTGACCATGAAAATAACAATGTTACAAAGTTATGAAAACTTAAAGCATTTCATACACAGCTAAGTCCTAAGGCATCATCCTTAAGCAATGTCAGGGAAATATGCACTGATAGTATAACACAGAGAACATATATGCCAACAAGTTGCTCCATGTTGGCATATGTATTCCATGTGTGAGAGAGAGGCTTGATCTCACAAACAAGCTATTTCTCCTACATGTGAGAACTGTAGTAACCTTGTGATGGTTATTTTTCAGAAGGTCCAACACTAGAATTAAACATTTCCCCAATGTGGTGCCCTCCAGACATGCTGGATCACAGTGCCCCATCATGGCCAGGGATTATGGGAGAAGTTGTCTGATACAGCTGGAGGATGCTAGATTGAGGAAGAGCATGACTTAATATCCCCCCAACCCCCCCCCCGCCAAAAAATAAGTGTGAAAGGGAAAAGAAATCTTCTTGAACCCAATTTTTTTCTCTCTGTATGGCTGCAACTCCCTGAAGTGCAGGAGCAGAGAGGGGAAGAGGATATTTCCTGCAAGCCACCAAACGAACACTTGACAGCAACAAGCTGAATTAAAAGAAAAGCAGCGTAAAGAACTTCTCCGAAGGATGCTAATCTAGTGACATAACGCAGGGACAAGGGACAAGAAGGAGAGAGGCCACTCTGTCCTGTATCTGAGATCTTCCTGCAAAGGGACGGGGGCTCTAGGAGCTTAGGTGTTAGTTGGATGGATAAAATACCCTTTAGAGGAAAAGGAAACGTGGCTGGGGCGTAACGAGAGCGCCTTTGGCAAGCAGAATATCCCAGCTGATAACGCTCATCGCCTTGCGAAAAGACGCCCCCCCCTCAACGTGCGCACACAGAGACGGAGACCCCCGCTGCCAGAGAAAAAAGAAAATGACCCTGAGATGCAGATGGGCCCGTCCCCTGAGTAGCTTCGGCTCTGCTGTGCGTCCTCCCATAGATAGACGTGGAAAGACACACAGCAGAAGACTCCTTTCTCGTGCCTTTCTCCTCCCGCGATCAGTTTGCACCCGAAGCTATTTGGCGAAAGCTGAGGAGGAACTTGGTGTATGCTCAGAAACACTTTGCAGCGGACCAGAAGAACATTGTGCGCGGCTCAGCCTTGGAGAATGTCCAGCGTTCAAAGCGCACAGCCTCCACTCCTCTCACCCCTCTGTTGCTCAAAGCATCTTTAAGGGCGGAAAACGAAGCGGGTTGCGGGGGGGGGGGGGGGGGA